GCCTATTGTCAAATGATTCATGCTGCTGTGCCCGTGGTGCCTTCCCCACTTCATTTTACCCCCATGACCTCCTCCTACGCTCTTCAGAGCACTAGGAGGCAGATACCGAGGTGTGGCTAGAGCACAAGACAACCCGAGTTTACCCCCAATCACAGCGTCCCGTGAAAAGTCAACAAATGAGACAGAAGAGAAACAGCGTGTAGGCTGATACCAGCTTTAGGTAAAATTGCAATGATGGTCTCCAAATTAGCTAGGCTTTCTGGCTTTGTTTCAGTGAGAAAGACGAGGAAAGATTGCTGCTGATTTCCATGTCCAGCAGGCCCTCCTCCCTCCAAGGCTGTCCCAGATCAGAGCTGTAGGGAGCAGGGCAGCTGAGAGTGTGGGGAAGGATGAGGAAGATGTGGGGCTAATGTCCTATACAAAGTTGAGTCCGTTGCAGGTGGAAAGATGCCTAGTGTACTGTGTGCCTGCCAGGAGAATTGGTATGTCCCAGCCCTGTTGTCTCAGCTATAGTGGGGGATATGCAATAATAATGATAACAAGAAGTACAAAATAACAACTAGTATTTACTGAGGGTCTTCTAGGTGCCAGATACTGTGTTAAGCACCATCTGTCTAATTACTCATTTGAAACTAGTGACAATCTTATGGAATATGTACTATTGTCTTTATATTATTTGAGATGAGGAAACTTGGGCTTTTAGAAGCCAGTTACTGGCCAAAGTTAATAGCTAAGACACGAAAGAATCAGGATATATCCCAGGCAGACAAACTCCAGAACTCACTTTAACCACTAAAGTGTACTGTGTTAAGTAGCATGGAAAGGTAGAGACGTTTTAGCCTAGGGTCCACTTCTGGATGTATATCCTAGAATCTGTACCCTGCACCCTCACATGTGTATGTCTGGTAAGAAGGTAGTGAATAAAGCTACTTTTTTTTTTTTTTAAATCTGGAAGGCCATGAAGTATTGTAAATGCCAAGAGGAAAAACTCTCTTAACAGCACCACTATCATCACCCTGGAAACGTGGTGGATGGTTAGCATTCTAAGTGATGACAACAGTTTGGTGTACAGGGACTTTTCCAAGAATTCCACTTCGTTGAAATCATAGAAATAATATAATATGGAGATTTCATTTCTTTGTGGTACAATTTGCCTGAAACATGGAGCCTCCCTTCTCTTAAAGACCTGAACACTCTCTATGAGTCAGAATCGACTCGACGGCAACGGGTTTGGTTTGGGTTGGAGAGTAAAATGACATTTCTCAGAGTAGATCTTTCTTACTCCTCAGCTCTGGCATTGAAACCATTCTTGAGAAGAGGGATGCTCTAATCTACCAGCATTATTTTCTGAAAGCAGTATTTAATTCTGAATTAAAATATGTAAGGCTTGATAATAGCAGTTTCAAACTGCCTTTTTCTTTATCACTGAAGAAATAAATTTCCATACCAAGAGCATTATTTATGCTAATTGAGTCATTTGCTAGGGGAAAAAATACTTTAAGTGCTGTTTTTATTTTGGAGCAGATAGAAATAAACACAGTAAACTTTAAAAAATTATTTTGAAAATCATTGTACGAATATATATAACAAAACATTTGCCATTTCAACTTTTTTTTTACATGTACAGTTTACTGACATTAATTATGTTCATCATATTGTGCAACCATAAACTTTTAAACAAAGAAGTTAGAGGAAGTCAGGAGAGAGTGAAGAGCTGGCTGAACTCATAGTTCCAGCAGCACAGTCAATGGATTCCTTCCTTGTAGTTAAAGGTCATGCTGCTTGTTAATTTCAATAATACAGATACATGCTTCTAAACTAGGTTTTCTAACAGACATCTGCTTTCTTGTGTAATGAATGTTAACACGCATTAGGAATGAGCCTGGGGTTGAACTGACAGTCAGCAGCAAGGATACATGTGGTATCTATTATTTGTCAGACACCAGGGACACTGTGGTGAAAAAAACATACTGTCGCTGTCCTTGACGAGTTTGAAGTCGAATGAGAAGACATTGCTTATTGACTAAGTAAATGACTACTAGTGTGTGAAATGCTACAGAACAGAAGTTCCTAAGGAAAGAGAGTCAACGAAATAGTCTTCTAGAATAGCAGAAAGGTGTATGACCACGAAGTTATTTTGAATACTCCTCTCCCCTTTTTACCCCATATCCAAAATACTTCGTAGTCATAAGCCTTTCTACTATTCCAGAAAAATATTTCATTAACTCTTATTCCTTAAGAACTTCTCTGTAACATTTCACATAGCAGTAGTAGTATTCAAATTGGATTCTTATTTCTACATGATGATTAGTTTCTCAGGCTAATTTTTAAAGTCTATTCACATTATATTTAAATAAGTAGCATAGTTGACGTTGTACTACTTGGTAGATGAAATACGTGAGCTATGTTTTTCAATCTGAATCCGTCTTTTAGGATTTCCCTTATTACCTCCACTATTGCAGCCTGAGGCACTTAATTAGACCAGAAACAGATGTTCGCTCCTTTACAAATGGTGCCAAATTCTGTGTTAAAGCGTATGAAATTTAAAAAATGTGCTTGCTTCTGTATGGGAAAAAATTTAAAAAAAATGTTCTGCTCACCTTACAAAATAAATTTCCTGGTAATTAATTGGTCAATCCAGCTGGTTATGACTTCAGTGGTAAAAATGATGTAGGATTCTCTTTTTGTCTATGCTGTACTTATTTCCCAATCGGGTTTTAAGTGAGTTCATTTTAAAACCAAACAAACCCTACAATGGAGCTTGTCTGGGCTTTTCTAAACCAAGAAAAGCAACATCACAGAACATACCTCGGACAGAGCTTCCGGAACTGTAGAGTGTTTGAGGCAACCGAGATTGAACAGAAAGTAAGCTCCGTGATTCTCCCCTCTGCAGAGTGTGGTGATGGTGGTCTTCAGTGAAGACAAAAACCGAGATGAACAGCTGAAATACTGGAAGTACTGGCACTCTCGGCAGCACACGGCCAAGCAGAGGGTCCTCGACATTGGTAAGTTGGCCACAGTCTTTGAGGAAGTGACATGTTGTCACGGTGCCAAAGGGGGCTCAGCACAGTAATCACAGCGAGCACCCACATCACTTTTGGGATATGCCAGGCTAGTCTATGCACTTTTCATGTTAACATATTTGGTTCAAATCAAGCCAAAAAATCAAAATCAGGCTAGGCCAAGAGAAAAGGACTTTCTTTTCCATGAAAGGCAACTGTGTGTCACATAATAATAGAGAGATATTCAGCTTTACAAGGATAAATTGCGTTTCTAGAGCGTGTTTCCATGCCCTCCCATGTTGGAGCCTAGCAGATAGGCAAGGAGGTCAGATGAACGCTTAGCTGTGTGACATGAATAAACTCAGGCTCATGTAGCGCTAAGGTACTTGGTGAAGGTTATATGATTAAACAGTTAGCTCTAGTCACTAGTTCTCCAACCATTGCTGCTTCTACTCCAACACATGCCTATTACAAGCAGTACTAGGTGATCAGGCTAACTGAAACGTTTGAGAGATTGGAGTTTCTGTGCCAGTAAAGAAGGAATGAACATGCCAGGCACGTTTTCTGGAGTCTGTATCCTCCTAAAAATGATGCCTGTCCTTTAGAGATGTGTATCCTTCTGGATGGTCATCACTCAGAGTCCAGTCAGGGAAGCAGAGCCCACGCCAAGTAGCTCAATGGAGGGGATGTGTTGCAAAGGTTGGAAGGGCTGAAGGTACAGTGAGGCAATCCAGAGATGAGCAATGGCAGGAATCTTCAGTTATTACCTGTAGGGCTGAAGGAACAAAGGGAGGAGGTGGTGTTAGCAGGAGCCACCCAGCAGGAGCTCAGCCCATGGGGAACTTGCCTCTGCAGGAGCTGGGACCACAGTGAGAGTGGCTTTCCAATGGAAGGTGGAACCCCAGAGGAATCATCGTCAGAGACATTTCTCAGTGCTAAGAGGGAGAAGAAATGCCCTGGCTTCTGCCTGCCTCCCACTCTCCTGCCAGTGCTTCCCATTGCCTAGTTTAACCTAGAGCCAGAGGGCACAGGACCCTAGAAAATGTCGTATGCAGGAGTCTGCCTCTGAGAGATACAGAACAAAGCAGGGGAAGGCGGAGAATGGATCTTAAAACTTCTAAAAGTTACTTAGAAACACAGATAGTGACATGTGTTTCTAGGTAATTTTAACGCTTTACTTAATGCTGTTTCCATAAGAAATAGGTGGTTTCTTATTTGTAGGCTTTATCACTCCATTTTGCAGACCAAGAGGAGTGGAGGTAAAGTGAAGGCTTCCATTGTGTTGAGTGTCGGAAGGTATTACCTGGTCATTAAAGGGTTGTTTGTTTTGATTTCTTACCCACTGCAATGATGGATTTGTTCAAACTTTCCACCTCACCCTTGCCAAGATCCCTGTGGTCTATGGCAGAAAGGTGCCTAGGTTAAGGTTAGAGATCAGCTTTGAACACATGGAAACTAATGACTACTTTATACTGCAAAATGGCTCAGCCACTCTTCTCCCAACACACACACACACACACACACACACACACCCTTTCTATTAACCAGTCAAACACACTTATTTGTTTTATAAATAAGTAAACTGATGTCTATAGAGGCTCATCCCCACTCTACCTCCTCTTCCTCTCAAGTGACTTGTCCTTGGATAATTAGTGCAAGAGTTGGGTTAAGAACAAGCTTCCTAACTCAGATCAATGCACTGAACCTCTGGGACAGGCTGACTAGGACAAGAGGTTTGGGGATACTTGCCTTAAGCTGCTTTGTAGCCAATCTGCATAGAGCAGAGGAACAATTTTATTTTATTTGAGAATTTAGCCTTATAATTATGACCCAAGAAAATGAGAGGAGCAATTAAATAGAAATATGGACTAGGTCCAAACAAGGCAAATAATAAAAGAATCTTACTGGCATACCTGTTGATTCAACTTTGGTATCGTTACAGGGTTTATTTATTTATTTCGGATTAGAATGATGTCTCAGGTCTTACAGGACTTCATATCTCATTTGTTTTCTTTATCACCTCTTCCCTTCCTTCAGACTCTTCTCCTTCAAAGAACCCTATACACATGCACACACACACACACTTTATCTTTGAGATTTGTGACTTTTACTAAGTAGCATCCTGGCTAGTTGGGCTACTTGCTTTGAACCTAAGATCAAGGCATTGAATAAGCGCCTTAGATTCAAAGGGATGATCTCTTTTCTGAGCACAATCTATACTCGCAACTTCAGCTAGCCACCTGCCAGCTGCTTTCACTGGGTGAGGGAATGTGCAAAACTATCATCTAATTCATTATTATGCTGTTCTTCTGGAATAAAACCACGTGTTCCTCTGCCAGTGGGTTATTAGCACCATTTTTGTACATAAAGGAGAACGAGCCTGGGACGGCATGTGCATTTGGACATGTGCACCATTGGTCGTGACTCTGGAGTGCTGTGCTGTGAGTGTTTATGAGGCCACAACCAGGAGTGTTGCGGAGGGTTACCTACCAATGCCTGTCTAAGGTGAGGGGAAGTGAAAGTGCTATCCATTTGCCAATTTTGGTTAAGGACCTTGTAGTGGCCTAAAAAAAGAGAAAGAAGAATCCAAAATTATTTAATGTATTTCTTTATCAAAGCCTCTAAGAAGCTGGAGGTTAAAGGTAGGACTCAAACTGCATTTCCCAAATTTTTACCAGCAACTGTGAATTGCAAGTTGGCCAGCAAGTTCAACTGAGCCATCCAGGTGGTGGCCTTGAAGCTGGAGTTAGAGGTCCAGATGAGGTCTCTCTAGCTAAAGCAGAGGTTCATAACTGCTGGTCCCTGGAGTCTATGGTGGGCTTTAGGGCCACCACACACCTCCTCAAGTTATGCATGACACAGTCCTGCTTGCGTGGATACGTGCCATTTTTCATCACGTTTTCCAAGGTGCCCAGGATACCCAGACGTGTGTGCCTGCCCTTGGCCGTTCTGCCTCTACTCCAGGCCTCCATCAGCAGCAAAGCTCATCCAGCTTCACCTCCCATTGTGCCTTTTCTTTGTTTGGCATCCCTGCAGCACTCATGCTCAAGAATTGTTCTGCTGACTCTTGTACCCTGTAATAACGATGCCTCGCAAACATTCTTACCCCTTTCCATACAGAAAGTAGGTTGTCAGTTGTTCTTTGAGGCCCGTCCTCTCATCTCCCACAGCTACCATATTTTTCCAAAAATAATGTGCCCACATAAATAACGCACATAGCATGCCTAGGAAAATAATGTGCAAAGGGGTTGTGCGGTTCGCAAAAAACTTATAATGTGTGGATTATTTGAGGAAAAATATGGTAATTCTCTGAGCAGTGTGCTAGCTGCCTGATAGGGAGAAGACTCCGTGTCTACAGGGTAGTCTTGTCTCTGGAGAGTGGGAGCCTGAGGAAAGAGGCTGCTCCTCAGCTTTGCGCCCTGGCTGTCCAGGTGCCTCATAACATGAGCCGAGTTCCTAGTGAGGCTCTTCCTGCATCACACCAGGCCTGTTCCTGCATTAGCTACTCCTTCTATCCAGAATGGTCTTTGGACGGATATTTATACTATTGCGCTCTCACTTCTTTCGGGCCTTTGCTTGTTACCTTATCAGAGAGGTCTTCTCTGTCACCTTACCTGAATGTTGTACCCTCATCACACTCTGTCTCCCTTATTCTTATTTTACTTCAGAGCACTTAGCACCACCCAAGATGTTTGTTTCTTACATATGTTTATATTTCTTATTGCTTTTCCCCCTCCTGCTAAAAAGAAAGCTCCATGAGAGCAGAGACTTGTCTGTTTTGTTCTCTACTCTAGCCCCAATTCTTAGCACAGGGCTTGAGACATAGTGAGTGCTCAATAAATGTATGCTAATGAATGAATGAATGAGTAAATGAATAACGAGTGGATGAAACTCTTATGCTGGCAGAGTGTAGGCCTCTTGAAGGAATAAATTGTCTCTTAATAACAGCTGCCATGCATGCGTTCATTGCCTCCTATGTTTCAGGCACTGGAATACCTCATATATCAACATTTTGTCCTCAAAGCTACCCATTTTGTTGTTTAGAAACTGAGACAATGAGAGGTTAAGAATTCTACCCAAGGTTACAACCTGGTACGTGGTGTAGGTAGGATGGGACCCAAGAATTCCAGAGTTTGCACCCCTTGTTGTCTTTATTATTCTGTGCTCTCGCTCCACCCTGTATCATCCCTCTCTTCACCTATATCTTGTCCCCTAAGTTAGTGCTTGGCACCTACCGGGCACTGGTGTGTTAGAGTAACTGAAGACATTCAGACCTGGAGAAAGTTCTGGGGTCTGGGTGGTAGGATTCTTGACTGCTGTTCTGACATTTCTGAAAGTCGACTCTGATTAGTTCTTATGCACTAGGTATAAACTTTATTTTGGGGGGAAAGGGGAGAAAGAAACATTAGCAATTACTTCTGACTTGATATAACTAAAACAAACAAACGCAGGCCCAAGTAGATCCTGCTGCTTTTCAAAGTCACACAAGCAGCGTTCTCCAAGTCTGACAAGTTCCTTCTTCTGAGTTCACTGAGCAACAACAATTATTCAAGGTCATAAATAAGTTTACATTCTGCAGCCCAAGGGGTATTCCCCTGTCAATATACCTCCTGTATGGAATAGCCATGCAGATTATATTTGTAGTTTAGTTGTCTCTGAATGTGAGATCCCCTTTATAATGAAACATGGAGTTAGTCATGGCCCCGTATTTGTTGATACCGGCTTGAAAAAAGGCATAGTTAATTTCACATTCATTCGGCAAGCATTTATTGAGCACCTACAATGTGCCAGGTCATTTGTTAGACAGTGGTGATTCAAGGGTAATTAAGGCAGACCCCTTGCCTTCAAACTACTCAAGTGCTGTGGGAGTGGAGGTTGGCTCAGGACTGAGTTCAGTCAGAGACACATTGATTTGGAGGCACATAGAGCCCACAGGTAGCAGGGTGGGAGTTCCCCTGGACTTGTTTCACAGTGGCGGTTATCCCGTTTTGTACAGTGTATGC